CCCCCACCCCCTAACAGAAAATGACCAGCCTTCGCTGGTATGGTTTGACAGAGGGAAGTTTTATTTAACCTTTGAAGGTAAGTCGAGTCCTGGTGCATTGCACACGTTTGGGCCTCGTCTTCACGCCCCTGCCTGCCTCACCTCCATCCATCTCCTTCACGCACTCATTCCTTCCCCTGTCTTTTTTTTCTTTATCCCCCCTTCATTACGTTTCTTTTTCTGTACAGCGCAGCTGTTTTCATCTCCTGACATCACAATGCTTTTTCTGGTCTGTTCTTTTTGCATGCTGCTGCTCTTCTTTTCAGCTTCAGCTTGTCTTTTTTATACCACAGGTCTTTCTGTGACTTGGCCCCGTGACCCTCTGCTGTTTAGGTCATGGTGCGTCGCTGTTAGCATATTGCTAACAGGATCTCATTGTTAGCAGAATATAGACACTGAAACTACCATTTTAACTTGATTGTCTCGGGGGTGTCGATACTCAGTCTGTATTCTGTCTGTCGGTTGTTATTATCATATCTCTTATTTATCCATCCTCAAACATCAGGTATTGCTTGCTGTGATGCTCTCTCACACAGTTAATATGGCTCCCCCTGCTGGTTGGAGGAGTGCACTGAGAGTCTACTGCTGTTTTCCAGGCTGTTCCCGAGGACCCAGTCCTCTCACCATGGGTGCCCAGGACACCCTCCCTGTGGCGGCTGCCTTCACAGAGACCATCAACGCCTACTTCAAGGGGGCAGATCCAAGCAAGTACGTCCACTAGTCACCCTGGTTAACCACCAGGGAAGAGTTCAGTGGATGAAAACACAGAACACACTATGGTTTGGTTTAGGGGCAAATTTTAATAGTTGAGTTGATGTATTGTAACCCTTTGTTTACTAGACCTCCACTTTTGGTCTCTGTGATGATAGATGTTTGATGTTAGACATTGATGACTGCTTTTTGAATGCATGACACAAAGTGAAACTGTAGTTACACCCCCCCCCCCCAGTAAAGATATGTGAAGTATTAATTTGCACCTGGTAATGACCTCTTCTGAAGACTGACTTGACCTGCTGGAGTCACCAGAAGGCTACAAAGGGGCAGAATGACAGACAATGACAGACAAGGGCTGGAGTTTCTCTTTGTGAAGATGGAGAGTCTCTGCATAATCATTCAGACCTGAATGAACCTCAACCCCACACCAATTTCACTTATAATTCATATGACTGCCTCTGTGATCCCAGGGTCCCAGGGTGCTTGACTTTTAAATAGGGGGCAATGTGTGGCTCAGCAGGTTAGCTTGCGGTGCTGTGCCTGTAATCGGAAGGTCACTGGTTCAAATCCTGTGCTTGGACTGATTTTACCATTGGGCCCAGAGCAAGGCTCTTACCCCCTGTCGCTCTAAGAGTCATCTTACCCTGCTTTCTTAAAAAAAAATTGGATTAACTTGTCTGCTGAAAAAAATGTCACGGGAAACACTATACAGGTCTGTAGTATGTACCTTTCACAGAATTTAATTTTTGTGATTTGCCTTTTAGAGGTATAAGGGCAGCATTTATCGTTTTGACATTAACTGCGATATAAATGGCAGCCTGAGTTCCTGGACCTGTGAAAGCGGCCCGTTCCAGGTCCTCGCTGAAACGTGGCTGATCTCAAAGTAGCTTTGCAAAACCCCTTTCCCCTTCCCTCCCCTCCCCTCCCCCCCATGAGCTCAGGCTGGGCAGCAGTCTCTTACCCCCCCCCTCTCTGGCTGTCCTCCTCCCCCCAAGGTGTGTGGTGAAGATCACTGGGGAGATGGTGCTGTCCTTCCCGGCCGGGATCACAAGGCACTTTGCTAATAACCCCTCCCCAGCCGTCCTAACGTTCAGCATAACCAACTACGGCCGACTGGAGCACGTTCTCCCTAACCCTCAGCTGCTGTGCTGGTAAATGTGCATTAACGCTCACTTCACTATCCTGCTCCACTCATACCGCACTATCAGCAACAAGACATTTCCCCTCCCTGCTCTAAACATCAGGGCGGCCCTGAAACAATGTCCCATATCATCAGACCTACTAAAATGATTATTACTGATATCTGCTGTCACAAATAACTTTGCTTACAAAAGGAAGCCCTTCAAAGAGGCAAGTCTAACACATGTATGTAGGCACCTCATACATTAACCATATGCATACATTAGTGTCTCTATACATTTTTACCTTCTGCTTATTATAGCTACATAATTCTTTCAATTAAATTAGATTGTTTCTCCTGCTTGAAGGAGGCATGGATAGATTTAGATCTGCATACATAGTATATTAATATATATAGATAATATGTTTATATATATTCCTCCTTAGTGACGCCACACAATCCAGTGGTAACTTCTGGGTGAACATGACCAGCTTGATGGTCCACCTGAAGAAAGTGGCTGAGCAGAAACCCCAGGCCACGTACTACAATGTGGACATGCTGAAATATCAGGTGAGAGTGAAGGCAGGATGAGTGATGTGTGGATGTGTGGTCAAAAGAAAGGTGAACTAGGAGGCTGTTGCCCTGGTTACCCTAAGATGAGGGACAGCATGCAACAGCAAGTGAAGGGGGTCACATGCGTTATTATGGCGATATCATCACCTGCCTTAGCTTGCATCCAAACGTGCGGTCAGGATACCTTCCCTACACCTTGAAAATGTGGAAAAATAGGATATGCTATATTCGGAGGGTTGCTCAGTAGGTTAGAATCCTGTGTCTGTGATCAGATGGTCGTTGGTTCAAATCTCAGTGTTGGAAGAGTGATTTCACTTATTGGGCTCTTGAGCAAGACCCTAACCCCAATTGCTCCAGCTGTCCCTGCTGTCAGTTGTGCATCATTTCAGATAAGTGTTTGCTTTTCAGGGTCCTAACCTGTGTGCGTTTTTAAATAATCAGACCCTAACCCTGCTCTGTAGGGTGTCCAAAATGGCCGCCTCCAGACTGAGTCCATATGTTGCTAAAGTGCTGCTTCCCCCCCACGGTGCCGCCATGTGACCGAACGCCGTCCCCTTCCCAGGTATCCTCACAGGGCGTCCAGACCACACCGCTGAATCTGGCGGTCAGCTGGAGATGTGAGTCGGCATCCACAGACCTCCGGATTGACTACAAGTACAACGGGGAGGCCATGAACGTGCCCACGGCGCTCAACAACGTCCAGTTCCTGGTGCCCGTGGATGGCGGTGTGACCAAACTGCAGGCGGTACTTCCCCCAGCGGCGTGGTGAGCGATGAGCCAGACAGATCCCATGGCGAGTACTTCAGGAGGCTCCTGTTGGAAAGGGCAGCGTCGGTTAACTGATTAATGTGCATCTTTAAAGGAATGCGGAGCAACAGCGGATCCTGTGGAAGATCCCGGATATTTCACAGAAGTCAGAGAATGGAGGTAATTTTTTGGACGGGGCGGGCACAGTTACATTCAAGTGGAAAACCGACATTGTCATCCACCTTAGGACTTTGGACAATAGAATAATGAAGCATTTTGCATGTTTCAAATGTAGATATTGGATTATCTCATGTTATCCAAGTCCAAATGTCACTGAACCTTGTTAAAAAAGTAACTGATCTGGGTTTTGTTCACAATGTGGCGCTGGATCAATTATCTTCCTCTGTCTCGCTGGTGCCCCCTTCTGTCTGTAGACTGAACCACAAGCCCAGTGTTTTCAGTATCCCATGCGGACACTCGTTTTGTCCCGTGAACTCGGAGGTGTCTCTCGCCGTGTTTGACCCAGGTGTTGGTTCGCTACTGGCGAGGTTCCAGCTGACGGACGGGCCCAGTAAACCTGCGCCGCTAGCGGTCCAGTTCACCAGCGAGGGCAGCACACTTTCAGGCTGTGACATCGAGCTAGCGGGGACCGGCTACAGGTTCTCGCTCGTCAAGAAGAGGTTCGCAGCGGGTGAGCAAACAGCGTGACTTGAGATGAGCACGGGGCCTGTACAGGGGCAGATTGTCATTTCATGGACCCCACTTGAAAGGTCACTTTGCCCCCCCCCCTTCAGATGTTTCAATAACAAAATGTATAGTTAGCGAGCAGAGTCAGAAGATTGTAGCTAGATAGCACAACATGCTGTTTCAGCATTTCCTGAACAAGGAACACATTTATTTTATATATAGTGCAGTAACTGCTTTTAGTCAGGCTGGTCGTGTAGGGTGGCACCTGAATTTTACTTTGGAAGGAAAATGTTCTGTTTCTGTTCCACTTCCCTAATAACCCATTTTTTGTGAAGCAGGGATGTTCAAAATATACCTTTGGATGAGTTAGTTTGGTTTGATTTTCACACACTAACAAGAGTGCCGCGCATTTCTGAAGTATTAATGCCTGTGTGTTTGTGTCTTTAGGAAAATACCTGGCAGATAACTAGTCTGAAGAACATAAGGAAGATCATCTCACTGGACTGGACAGTGCAGACCCTTTTCAAATGAACAAAATGACAACTCTTACGTTGAGCCCTTTATACCGCGTGTCAGGAGGACGCGACGGCCAAGTCAGCAGTGTTACGGCATATAACCCGCGTGTAGAGTCGCTGAGAGTCTGAGGGTGTAATTATCGTACCTGTAATGTGTACCCATCTCTGAGCATCTGTGTTGTTACGTTTAGACTGCTGGGTTGATTTCTGAGATTAGCAACTGTTTATTTTGAGTGTGTTGTGGTGTCAGAACCATTTTACTGCAGCTGCCCGACTACTCAGTTCGAACTAATATCCATTCGTCCGCAAAGACGGTTGAATGGGGCAGCATCTTACATTCTGAGCGCCCCGAGGGTGAGGGACCAGTCTTTCCAGAGGTTCCCAGGGTGCTCTGAGGATCCCTCCTGTTAAGATGAGGCTGGAAGGGGGAAAGGCTTCCAGGTGACGGTGTTCAAACAATTTGTCTACTATTCCTCCAGCACGGCAGTATTTTTGCCTCCAACTGGGAGCTTAGTATCTAAACAATAGTTTACAGAAGGGCTTATCCATTAACCCTGTCTACCAAAGCAGTACGCATAATTTTATTAATAATAAATTTGAAAATAAAGGAGATGGTGAAGACTGTGTTCATGGGAGTTTTACTTACACAGAAATGTTCTGAAAGCAGAATGAAAAATGATTGGTTCAGAGAGATAACCAATCAGATTGTAGAGGAGGTGGGTCCAGGCAAATGGCGGAGGCAGGACCAAGACATCTGATTGGTTGGTCCCACCTCCTCTGTAATCTGATTAGTTATCTCTCTGAACCAATCATTTTTCGTTCTGCTGTCAGACCATTTTTGTGTAAGTAAAAAAAACTCCCACAAGCAAAGCTCATCAAATTAATTGTAGAAGGGGGGTATGTTCTTATAAATAATAGTGTATTCTGATCAAACGTTTTATTTCTGAACATGAAAATACGGCAGGACTCGGATCCCTGTTGATACGGTTTGTTTTGATGACCCGTTATTGAGCTACTGATGACACGTTTTCACAGCAGGTCCTCGCCAGGTGTGTCCCCCCTATCAGGGCGTTTATGGGGGGGGGTATTCCGACAGCGCGGGGGCCCCTTAGGGCTGGAAGACACTCAGGTTTTCTTTGTTCGTGTGTCTCCATGTTTGTGTGTGTTTTGTTTGTGCTGCTTAGTTTAATTTATTGTGAATCCTGTACGCCTTGGCAATCCCTCTGCTCCCAGTACCGGGGAAATTTAGTGTTAGCTGGGGCTGGTGCACTTTCTCGACCGGACGTTGGCGGAGTTTTCTGGTCCAGATCTCGCCGTCCCATGTCCGGTCGCCTTGCATTATTAGCACTGAATTATTAACATTGGCATGGCGGAGCCCTGCATGCACTATCTATTTTTATTTAATCTTTTCAGCCCATCGTGTCGATCTGCAGAAACGTTACACTCAAAAGTCTCGAAATTTTTTCCCCTTGAAAAAGTCGTGCAATGTTTTACCACAAGCTGATTGGGAGACCCTGTGCCATATTTCCACAGATTTTATTGGCATAAATAAATGACATCATAATTAGTAATGATGGTTTGAGGGTTTTGCAGAGCGGGGTGTGTAGTGTCCCCAACACGGCGCCGTGTTTAGACGGATGTACTGCGATACTGATGCTGCATTTTTTTCTCTCATTGAGGATAGAGGTAGAAACACAAACAATTACCATCGGTCACCAAGTTTACACGCATCCAGAATAACAAACTCATTAAAAAGCTTTTAACAGCATCTGATGGATAAGAGGTGGACAAGATTTAAACCAAAAATGTATTAAATCCCGTTGTACGTTTTTGTGAACTCTGTACAATGTATTATTACTCGTTCTCTTTTTTTATGACTTGAAGTTTAGTCTTTTTCTAAAAAGAGTTTATTCTGCGGGTGTCTTTTTCGATTATTTTTTTTTAATTCAGAGTGCAGTCAAACTGAAGGAGGACTTTTCTTTGAAGCTGAACATTGCTTTTCCTACTCTATATAATGTTATATTTTTGTTGTGAAGTGGTTAATTGAGTAGATGGGCAGCTTCAATGATCTTCTTTTTTTCCCTGTTGCAATATTTTAAAATATGTTTTACCTTAACGATGTATAAAGTGTAATTTTGAATTAGTACTATTTGTTGTGAGGGGTGTGTTCCCCTCTGCTGTCAGATAGCCGATACTTTGTTCCTCAGGCGTCAGTATAAGACTTCAAAGTACAGTATGACATATTTTTATTTATTGTTGATACTGATTTGTTGTAAAAAAGTGATCTGTATATTAGAATTTGGATGCTATAAAAGATTTAGAAACATTAAAGTTATAAATATGAATCCTTTTTTTGTTAACTGTGTGGAGTGGTAACCTGCAGAGTATAATGCTGAGGTATAATTTAAAATTATTATTTCGGGTGTAATTATTTTTAATTGAATTGCAAATTTGTGCTATATGGCAGGGGTTAAAATGAAAGTGTGTGTGTGTGTGTGTGTGTGTGTGTGTGTGTGTGTGTATATATATATATATATATATATATATATATATATATAGACACACACCGAAAGCAGGGGTGATAAGATGGATTGAAAAACCATACAGTTCCCGTTCACGTGCTTCAACGTTACCGGTTGAACACGTTTAAATTCATTGCTTCAATTTATATGCAGTGATGTGTGTGTGGAGGTCAGGGTACTTATTTTATATAACTGTGTGCTGAAGGTAACGTTTCCCAGACCTTGGAAACGGTCGGTTGTTTTCATTTACAGTATATAGTATAAACTGACTTCCACGGTCTGTCGGCAACATCTACCAAGGGGGAAGTAGCCTATTCTGGGCTGGGAACCCTACAGAGCAGGGTTAGGGTCTAGTCATTAAAACGATGTGTGATGCACACAGGTTAGAAACCTGAAAAGAATAACATGGTGTTATGAATAAATAGCTAATAAATGCATAATAAATGTATGGCACTTTACCTTGAAAAAACACGTGAAGTTTGCTGCGGGGAAGTGGTGTCGAATGTCTGCTGCTTGTGAATTATAGTTAGTCAAGGTTGTTCCCGATGTTCTTTCTCTCCTCAGTACATAAGCTTACATTTTGCACTTCTTGGCTTTTTCGATCCAGCGCTTTTTATTAAAGAAGTTAAATACGGAAGAAAAGCAAAAGCATTCAGAGCATAAGACGGACAGCGGAGCGTTAATCTGCTGCTTTTCGCGCATAAACCGACTGTAATTGTTCTCGATACTGTATCTAAGTTCCGTTGGAGTAAATCTGCGTTTCCAACACGCGCTATATAGGCGAATATACTGTAAAATGTCTGTGCAGTAAAACCCCTCTTTAGAGTTTCTTTAGGCCCTGCATCCTTGACACGAACTTTTCCCACAAGCCATGAAAATCTGGATTTAATCTCAGCTATCTTTTTTTACCGAATAATATTATTTATTAGACTTATGTCTTCTTGGTTTTATGAGATATCCAACTGTTTTATTTAGGTTTAACGTTTTGAAGATTTAGTCATTTCCGTTTTCATTTTTATTTCACTTCCTTTTTAAGATAAAAAGAGCAAAAGCTACAGTATTTTTCTGGATCCTTAAAGCTGCAAGAAACTAAGATACAGTACTTATAATTTAATTAAAAATAAGTACATCTTATTATTTATTATGTAGTCAATAGAAATGCTTGTTTTAACATAAGAGGGTGTTTGAAACTCCCCTTAATTCAAAAGATAAGGAAAAATCTGAATTTTACTCCAGTGTGCTGTCTTCTGGTATGAAGTTCCTGTCCTAATGACGTGCCACAGCTATGCGTGTCGTACTGGATTCACAGTATTGCTGTTTGCTGTGCTTTTTATGTGAGGTGTTGGTTTTTGGACCCTTAACGACCTTTTTGGTTAACAGATGTACCATCATGTGCTTCACACCCCTTGTGTGGATCGGCTGCTCTTTATGAATGTTTCATATGGAGTCTGTGAAAGATGAATCGTCATCTCCTCAAATATTACTTGCCTTATACATTAGTATAAATTGTATACCATACCCTGTGTAAATACATTTCTTTTTATATGCTTATTATTTAACTTGGTATTGTCTACCTGTACACTTTATCCATTGAATACTGAATATGCAATTGTCTAATGTATATGTAAAGTAAATATATAAATCCCTCTACTATTTTACAAGCTTTCCGAATGCCCCTAATGTAACATTTAAAATGTCAATGTTAGTTTCATTTGAAATAAAGAGGGCAATATTGACAGTCTTGTTTTTGTCTGCAACTCTAAAAGGAAGGTAAAATGTATTTATATATATTTTTTTTTTTGAGGTGACCACAGCTATTAAAATAATGCAAACACAAATATTCCTGTCTGCTTATGCATGCCTGGGTCCAGCAACTGCGAGACATTGTTATTCTAGATCTGTCTCTTGTTACGTGATTTATTGTGGTTATTATATATGTAATAAGATATTTGAGACAGTCTGTTGCTTCTGTCCCAAAAAAAAAAAGAAATAGTGAACTTGTGTGTATGTGTGTCCTGTGATGGCTAAAACATTAAAACCGATATCTAACATTGCTCCAGGAAAAATATCCATTGTTATAAATGGTTCTGTGACAAGCTGCAACTTTCTTCAAAACAATCAGCTAAAGAAAACAATAGTTATAAAATACCCATCTGCTATGACCTGTTTTATGTGACAAGTTAGCGGCAAAAAATGTCATTAAAGCTCAACTCCAGTGACAGCCGCCAAATCTGTGACATGCGAACAAGATGCACATATTTCGCATAACATTTCAACATACGCAAAGATTTATTGAAGGAAGCTAGCAAAATATACATACAATGTCTCTTTCAATCTTGAGTGGAATTTATTGTTTATTGTTATTGTTTCTTAGAGATGGAACAGCATGTGGTTTGCAGTCTGCTGCTGGATTCCTGCTTCTTTATAAAAGGCATCAAGCTCTCTACGCATTCAGACGGTGTCATGTAGGCCACACAGCTACGTTCCCTCCCTCAGCAGAACATCGTCAGGTCATTCTTCCGACATCCCACCTGGCAGCACATGTCTGTGATCACCTTCTCCAAGGTCCGGCGGGATGGATCCCTCCTGGAACCGTCGAAAAGGGCCTGGAGCCTCTTCTGCCCATTGCCGCCCACATCTGCGGAACAGTGACATCAATGGATCGGAACCACTGTCAGAAGATTGGCAAATTTAATTTTGCATTGTTACAGAATTAGGTATGTCCGCATTTTTGTTGTGCTAATAGTTACTGCAGTTTGATTAAATGGGACCCAATTTGTTACGAATACATGTTTGTTTAAAAAAAGACTGAAACTGAATGATTTGTGGTTTTTAGTATTATTATTATTATTTTGTTTTTTTTTTCATATTTCCATTGTTTTGAATTGCAGTTGGCATCATCATTATTAACATATTTTTTCATTATATGACCCATTCCTTGATTATTTATGTCTGTTTGAACTTTGTTTCAGTTAATCATAGTTTAAAAGTTGATCAACTTAGATTAAATAAGGCAAGCGGAACCTGATTTGAGATGATTCAGCACCTTATCATGTTACAGCCCCATCTCAGTTGTTGTCTACATGGTTCTGCGTAATACCTGACTGTGGTGATTCCCTGTCACGAGTTATTTGTGATCGTTCTATCTTGCCTTTAATTGCGTTCAGCTTCACAATTAAACATGTCTGGCACCAGTAATATGTCATGTAATTCGATCAGATAGAAATTCTTCTACCAGTGACCTTCCAGATGTTGTTTTCCAGTCTGAAAGCGATCCATCAGAGACAGTAACCATACACATCAACCACCGTAATACAGGCAAACCATCTCCAGGATAAGCCCCTGCTCTGCTCAAACATCTGCGCTGCTCTGCTCTCCTTCAGAAGAGGAGCTGGCTGCAGATTTATAAAAAGATCCAATTTTGAGTTTAGTTAAAGGACTTTTCTTGTGCTTTAGGTTCAAGTCCTTGACAGGAACATGTTGGACCCAGTGCCGGTCGACCCATTAAGCGACACTGGTGGTACCACAAGTGATTTTGGGCCCCATAATCATAATCATTATCATATCGGGCCCTCAGCCTAAACCAATCCAATTATGTTTCAAATGTTCAGGGCCCCAGTGACGCTTGGAACCATCTCCCCCCCCCCTTTATGGTGCCCATGACAATGGCAGTGAGGATCCTAAGGGCAGCACATGGGCTTCAACCTGCACTGGCCTGTTCCAGCCATTTTCCATTAGCTACCCATCGACATCAAATGAACAAAAGCATAAGCGTGTAAGATGCTGCAGACAACAGTGCTGCTTCTATAGAAAAACGATTAAAGATGAAGACGTCCAGCATGTCCGCTCCCACACCGAGCCGCCGTTCCGATGACGGGCACTGGACTGACCTTGGGATTCCTGGAGAAGGAGTCTCCTCCACCTGGATGCCCCGCATGTGTAGATGATGGCGCGGAAGAATTCCCGGCCGCAGAGCTTCACCACGCTGACCTCGCCCTGGACTGGGACAGCCGAACAGAGGGTGGCCAGCAGCAGGAGAGACACCAGCGCTTCCTTCATGGTGGTTCGAGGTCTCTGCAGACATGTACTCTGTGCCCCCCCCTCCCATCCCATATATACACACACACGCCTGGCACATGCACTCTCCTACATTGCCCATTGGCTGAGGACCTCTTGTCCTCCATCTGTGCCAAGCCCATCAGGACAAATTGCTTTATGTTTCCAATTATCTTAACTCTGCCATTTAAAGATTCCAAAACTGACTTCTGTTAGTCATTTAGTTACAACTCAGCCCTAAGCTTCCATGAAAATCACATCTATTTCTTTCTTTAGAGTGTCTTATTTAAAACCTGTCACAGAGTTTTCATATTACTCTAAGCATCTGTATCCTGCTGTGCAACGGCCCATTCAGTGTATTCCTCCAGGGATAGATAAAGTTTATCTTATATCAGATATTTTATACTTTAGTGTATAGGTCTTGATCATAAACTACTTACAAAAATGAATCACATAAAGCTGATATGGGAAGCAAATTAATGGAATTGTTTAAGTCCATCAATCTTCCAGTTATTTACTCAGTAAAGGTCTGCAGGGTGTATATTGTCACTTGACCTCTTTCCACGGATATAATCTGAAGCATGTATTAACACAGAATGGAAGCAGACGATGAAGTGACTGACACTCACTGAGCCTGAGTGATTCGGTATGATGCTGATCACGATCGCCATGGTAGCACCAAAAAAAAACAGACATTCAAGCTTCTGGGTGTTTTTCAATTGAAATCCACCAAAGAAGATTCTCATGGCATAAATAAGTAAATATGTCTCTTTTCAACCAATTATTTTTTAAAATGACACCAGTCATATTTCTTGGCTATTGCACTACGTGGTTTTATGGAGATGCTTTCAATCCCTGAACATAAGAACATAAGAACATAAGAACTATACAAACGAGAGGAGGCCATTCGGCCCATCGAGCTCGCTTGGGGAGAACTTAACTAATAGCTCAGAGTTGTTAAAATCTTATCTAGCTCTGATTTAAAGGAACCCAAGGATTCAGCTTGCACTACGTTATCAGGAAGACTATTCCATACTCTGACTACACGCTGTGTAAAGAAGTGCTTCCTTAAATCCAGTTTGAAATGTTCTCCCGCTAATTTCCACCTATGGCCACGAGTTCTTGTATTTGAACTAATGCTGAAGTAACTATTCGGTTGAACAGCATCCAAACCTGTTAGAATCTTATAGACCTGAATCATGTCCCCCCTCAGTCTCCTTTGCTACAGGCCCCTGAACTTTTTAAAATTCAATAGACAAGGATAATGGCAACATCTGTCTGTGGGCGAGTTCCAGACAAGTTGTACCCTAATTTTATTGTGATTCCTGAGAGGAGACTCTCGGTCTGGCAATGACAGAATAGAGATGGTAATTGCATCATAATTTTTATTTCGAATGCGCAGCACGTAAATAACCCCAAGATTTCATTTTAATTACAATTGGACTGAAGGGTTGTTCTGATGATCTCCTCCAATGCGCCCGCCTGCAAAATCAGATGACGTCAAGTGAGAGCTTGCCACAGTGGATTGACAGGTGGGACTGTATCACCTCATCAGGGAACCCTTATCGAGCATATAGGACACGACTGCAGATGCATCAAGAATGTGTATCAGTATGATGTCGCATGTCTTTTCATTTCTTTAAAATTAAACCTTCAAAACAGATTTTAAACCTCAGGGACACAGAATGCTTGTATTCTATTTTCTAATCCTTGGGTGAAACATTGATGCAAAACTTGGGATATGGGATGAAGGATCAAAAATCAGTGTATTAGTACAAAAAAAAATATCCTCTTGCTACTCTTACTACAACCTGTTTTCATCAATATAAAACTGAAAATGCCTTAGGGGGTGACTAGCTAAATCTCCCATAATTTTTCACATGTTCCAAAATGATCAAATGTAACGAATAATCAAATGCATGCAAAACAATGAGATGTACTGTTGCTATTTACTTGTCGTCCATTATGAGTGTGTTTCCAATTTACCTGCGAGTCTCCAGCACCCAGATCGTTCAGCTGACAGACGCCAACGTGGCCGTTGCTGTCCCCCAGCAGAACACAGTCCGTCTGGGTGGCGGACAGCAGCGAGGTGAGCTTGACCCCCGGGCGTGTTGAGCTTACGATGGTAGGGTCCAAACTGAGGGGCCACGAGATGTCATTGAGTGTGTGAGTGGTCGACTTAATATAGAACTGTGGTAGTTGCAGGCCCCATGTTGGAAAGCATGTATAGAATTTGCATTGGGTGGGGCAGTAATTGTGATAGAGTTTGGGGAGGTGGGCTGTCGACTTACATGTTGGCACCGAGGTCCCAGATCTCCAGCCGGTCCTCATTTACAGCAACAAAGACAGTGGCCCACCTGAGGGACCACGAGACATCAAACACAGCTCTGTGCAGGGAGGTGAAGACCAGCACGGGGGTGAGCAGGTCCTGTCTCCACAGCCGGATGGTCCAGTCCGACGAGCAGCTCAGGAACACGTCAGGGCAGGAGGGGGACCAGGTAACCTTGTATACAGGCCCCTAAAAGTTGACGTGACATTTAGTTTGGTGAAAACTTGCTACAGCGCTGAGGAATTACAGTGTTCTGTTATCAAGGACGACTTGTAGAGTGTGGGCGTGTGTTCCTGTGTAGAAGTATCTCACTTACTTTGTGTGATGTGTATGTCTCCAGATATTGCTCGTTGTTAGAACAGGAGCACTTGTGAATGTGACCCTCTTCTGTGCCAACCAGGTAGATATTAGGGTCCTGGAACATAGAGAAAAGACAAGAGGCACAGGATTGTCAGGGGCATCATACCAGCAGCAAACGCAGAGAAGACGAGTAAATAAAGAAACCACTCGCAGGACCTGTTCAGCTCAGAAAGTCCTCCACTGCGGCCACGCCGGTGTTTCTTAGGGCTAATCACAGACAGAGGTGTGCTTGTGTAGACAATGAATGCCAAACGGCCTAAGACAAAATGATACCCAATGCCCCACCCCATTAAATAAGTTGGAGGGGAGGGAGATCCCGAAAGTCTCCCCCCCTTATGGGAAACCCTGGCCTGACATATCACCCAAAAAGGGGGCATTCTTAAATAAGTCACAGTGCTGCAGAGCACAGACGGCCTGCCTCTCTTTGTGCTCTTGCCCCAGGCAGTGCCCTCACTGGCATCTGGAGGCCGCATGCTCTCTCCCACCCTTACTGGGGTTTGTCATTCCCTGTGCCTGTGCCGCATGGGTGTGATGTCTGCACCTACCCTCTGGGTCTGTGCGCTTTTGATGGCTGACATCACACAACAGTCATAACCATTTCTAATTCCAGGAATTGGCTGGCATGTACAGCCTGAGTCACATGGCCAGACTACCAAGGCTGCCTCATCGCTGCCTCATCGCTGCCTCATCGCTGCCTCATCGCTGCCTCATCGCTGCCTCATCGCTGCCTCACTCCACCAGCATTATTCCCCACCGCATTCATTTGAGGCTACACATAAATAACTAAAATGGAATGTATACACACACTAAGCAGCCTTTGGAAGTTCATATATTTTATTTATTTGTAGAAATATATAAAATGTCCATATGCTTCTGAGATTCTCCTCTTACCTGGCAATATCCTGTAAAAAGCCACAGAACTACCCAGAAGACCAGAAGTGTGAAACTTTCCTATTTGCCTTTGAGTAACCATTTGGTCCTCCGAGCCTGCAGGGGTCAGTGTGTCTCCCTGAGGGCAGCTGTGAGTTATGAGCTCTCACCCTGGGATGGAAGTCGAAACAAAGCCCAGCGGTCTGTCGAGATATGTATGCCTCACTCCTGCGCGTCTTCTCCCCTCCCTGTTTCCTGACTGCCTTGCTTCCGATTCTCTTCAGCTTGAGTAGATCTGTAAAGAAAGTGATACAACAAAAAATGCTAATGCTAATGCTACCCAAACAGGGTGGCTGTACTCATGATCAGCACTTCTGGAACAGCCATGTAACATTCAGTAACACTAACCCATGCAATGAAGGCCTTTCCTGAGGATCCATCTGCTGATCCTGCCGTCCGCAGACACAGAAACAAGTGTCTCTCCTTTGTCCTCCCCCCATGGACCGCTGTCCTGGTCAGTCCACTTCACCTGCCACACGGGGCCGCTGTGTTTGTGTGGGCATTCGCTTGAACAGAGACATGACAGTGGTTCTTTAACAGGACAGCCTTCTGGATAATTCTGCCCCAGCAGAATACAATATGTACAACAGTTTTGGATACAAAGATTCAGTCATTTTTGTCACTTAACAAACAATCTGGTGGTTGTGAGAATATTCTGGTTTTTGATCTGATTGAACTCCTAAGCAAAAATGGCCATTTTTCATTGACTGGGCTGCTAAATGAATAAACTGGATGACTATAATAGCAATAAATGGATTTCTTTATTTTCTTAGTGTTAAATAAAATTTGAATGGGGTCGATGCCAAGGACTTAGGTTTGGTTACAATATTGGTCGGGACCAAATCACTCCTGAACCCCCTGCCCCCCTAAACTCACACGGCACTCCCAAAATATTGGTAGGGACATGTCCCTATTGTCCATACCCAAATCTGCGCCCTTGGTTGATACACACTTGTAATTATAAAATAACAGCTCAGGACCCTCACCTGCTGTCCAGGACCGCAGTCCTCTCCCGGCTCTGCACGCTGAATGCGGCGATGCTGCCGTCGTTCATGCCCGCGGCGAGCTGACCCGGGTGGCTGGCGGAGAAGTCCAGAGCCGTCACACCACTCTGACAGGGGAATATCCTCTCTGGCCACTAAAGTCAGCAGATAAACAGACATCAGCACTCGTACTATCTAAGAAAAGACCAAGGCTTCTGCTGTAGCAATGTGAAGAAAGAATAACAGAAAGTTGCTCTTGTTCCATACCATGGGGTTCTTCAGAGACCAGCAACAGATCAGTCCTGGTTTCTGATTCTTCAAATCAAACTGCCCATATCCCACAGCCAAAAGATCCTGGTTTGGAGAAAAATTTGAATTACATTTTTCATTGATTGGTCTATGCAGAGCAGTTTGCTGCCAAAGCCCAGTGACAGGAGCGGGAGGAAGCCACGGGGCTGTACCGGGTTCTTCTTGTTCCAGGCCATGCTGCTGACGCTCTGGCCCACTGTCAGCTCGCAGCTGAAGGACCACAGGAGCTCCAGTGCAGGAGCCGGAGGGACGGCGCCCATCTCTACTCCCAGTGTCTCTGAAGGCTTGTGAAGAGTATCGGGATCTAATGAGCACGACACAAAGGCGGCCATGCCCATCAAACCAGCTTCACTTTCATTCCTTTTCCCGTTTTTCCTTCCAGTGCTTTTCATTGGAGTAAAGTAGTTTGGCCTCTCAGATACAGTATATGTGGTATATGTATGTTGTATGTTATTATGTGTTGTTATAGGTGATATCCAGATAGTTACCTGTACATTTATATACAGACATGCCTATTATATGCCACACAATCGGTCATTATATATAGACATTTACATATAGATGTAACTTATATGCCACGTAACTGACAGTTATAATGTAGATATTTATATATAGATGTGACCATTGTATTTTACACTTTGGTAGTTATATGTAGATATTTACAGTATATATAGACATGATGTTTTGGTAGTTCTTTACTTCAACAGGTGAATTTGTCTGAAGTGGCTTGTGAAATTACGGGAAGCCTAGTTAGTCCTTTTGCATTGCCTGTGTCCCGTCACACCCAGAACATCACACCCAGAACGTCACACCCAGAACGTCATACCCCGAACGTGAGAGCCGCTGCCCCCGGCTGCTCCTTACTCGCCTTTCATCACCGGGAGCCGTCGGTAGGCCGCCAGCCTGGCCTGGAAGATGTTCTGCAGAACGACCCTCTCCATCACGCACAGGTCCTGCTGAAACTTCTCGGACTGGAGCAGGAGCTGAGGGCTGGCCTTGTCCTCGCTCAGGGTGAAGAGGGCCGCCGTCTCCTTTTGGGAACTCAAGCTGCTTGCTGAAGTACAGAGGTTCATAAAGCTGCCTTAGCAGCTTGCACTCCTTCGCTTTGTCACAGATTTTCTAGAAGCAAGGCAGCTTACACACAGGTGCCTTTCCTAGGGTACAACAGCTGGACTATCAATTTAATCTGCTACAATCTGATTGGTTGGGCCCACCTCCTCTACAATCTGATTGGTTGTCTCTGTGAATCAAACATTTTTCTTTCTGCCTTGAGAGCTTCTTTGTCCAAGGCAAGCTCCCATAAGCAATACTTTCTTCTAGGAAATCAGGCCGTGTCACCAAAAATCTTAAAAAAGAGATTTTTTTTTTTCTTACCCATACTTGTAGAGCTTAAAACAGACATGGTTCTCTCGGGAGTCTTGCTTGATTCACGGCTTTGGCTCAAGATAATGTCAGGGCTGGTAGACTGATCTGCAGATTCTGTAGCCTCTCCGACTCCGCCATCGCTAGAGTAAGTGTCATACATGTCCCATGTGGTGGCCATGACGGCTGCAGAATGTGCATCAATCGCAGTTAAGAGCATTAGGCACGCCACACACAAGGTTCTTACCGAAGGTGAGAAACACAAACGTACTTACCTGCGTCAGCCAATGAGACGGCCTCACTCTGAAGCTCCTTCGTTTTTAGGGCCCCGTTAAAGGTCTGCATCCCCCTTTCTACATATTTGTCATTCCCCATTCTATTTTTACAGAGATCAATGTAGGCCCTGTTTCTCTCTCTGCAAATAGTGGAAAGAAATCATTTCGCAATTTAGTAAATGTGATTACCAAACTGGGATTTGACACAATTCATGGATATCAAGGACAGATGAGACTCGTTACAATATACTGATTTACAGAAGCAAATACAGTAGAAGAATGCGGTATAAAATCAATGTGCTGGCAAGTAATAAATCTCTTTTTACAGGTTTTGAAGAAGTTGCCTTGTCCCATAGAGGTTCTGTAGCTGAAGAAGTAGCATATTGTGCTAATAAGTTAAAGGTTGTGGGTTCAATCCCACAGAACGCACATAAAAAACTGCAACCCTTCTCGTTGCTTTAGGAAATAGTGTCAGGTAAATGATCTACAATAATGAAGCATTTAACTTGCTCTTTCTGTCATTCAGCTCTTCAGGAACATAGATATTAATGAATCACTATGTATATAATGACGTCAGTGTGCAGTAAACAGACGAGTGCAGTTATGAATTGACTGACATTCGACTGAACATCAGCAGAGTCAGAAGGACCACGATCACCTACTTCACACTCTCAGCTTCTGCGGCGTCCACCGACACAGAGACGGCAGGCATGTCAAGTAACCAGAAGGTCCCCGTTTCCGTTAGATACCTTTCCACTACATCATCCAACATATCTTCTCGCATCACTTCTTTTCCTTCCTCCTTTTTCACCTGCAGGTCTGAGTAGATGTATGAAGAATTAATGATAGTCACTGAATGTTTTACCAACCTCATCTCTGAATTCATGCACATTCTCCTTCCAGGGGGCTGATGTGAAATCTGAACTCAGTTATGAACTGCTGATGATTTCATTCTTGATCTGTGTTTTCATTCACTTACCCTGAGTTCTATAAGAGGAAACCTGGACTAGCTCTGGTTCCCTGCAGTCTGCTCAGAACCCCATACAAACAGAATCTTGTGTTGATTGATGGTGTTATCATTAATAGTAAAAGTGCATGCATTAACCTGATAGGCTGACTGAGATGCTACATTTAGCAGACGAGTCCTCAATTTCGTCATTCAGTGATTCCATCGTGGACTGGCTTGATCTAGACATGGCACTGCTTTCTAAAACAGACCTGAAATAGAGGATGAGGTTTGATAAAAGCATGCAAAATGAACTACATTTACTTTTTTATTTAACAAATGCTTTTCTATCACAAGCATACAGCTGTCACGCAGCCAACTAGGCGTAAGTGCAGCAAGGTTGAGCATCTAATGCGTGACCAGTAGCAAATAAACAAGCTCCTGGAATGATATACTGGGGTTTAAATGGTTTAAATGGCTTACCTGGTAAATGGCCCAGCAAAACTAGTATTGGTGGTTTGGAAAGTGGTGGAAAGAAAATCCGAGACACTTGCGCCGGAGGCGTCTTGAGCAGCAAAGATTTTGGTCTGTCGGGGCTGCGTAGTGGCTGGGTCAGGGTGGCAGAGGGGACGAGGGGTGACATCATTGCCACTCTCATCGAAAACCTGAGAAGGAAGCAGCCAGCATCATGCTGAGCCTGTCGTGTGAGGTGAGCTCATTTTGTTTGATGGACATCAGTCAGTCAGACAGTGGCCATGCACCTGCAGGGTCGTGGGTGCAATTCCACTCCAAGCTCTGTGGCCGTAGCTGATAGGTTAAGGCGATAGTCTAGAAGTTTATTTGGTCTCCCCATAAAGGCTCAGATATTGCATTTCCAAAACTATTACAACAACAACAACAACAACAAATTTATTTTTGTATAGCGCATTATCACATTACATTGTCCCAAATCGCTTTACAGCGTCCCCACCCAAAGCCCCCAGTGAGTAAGCCATAGGCGTCAGTGGCAAGGACTGGAGGAGGTACAGTTATTAACCACCCCACTCCCCCCAAAAAAATCTCCAATCTCCAGGGGTGTCAAATAAATAGCTGGTCTTGTGCTTGGACCCCAAACTCTGCTCCCATTGGTGTCTGAATGTCTCAAAGGGGACCATGATAGGATATGTGCATAGAAGCATTCAACCGTACCTGTACTCATACTCTTACAAATGCCAAATAAACCTCCTTTCCAGTTCTATATTTGCACCCCTATCTTCCCAAAGACACGCGCTTAACGTGACTTTGCATCTCCAATCGCCCTTATTTCATGTGTTTGTGTCTCTGCATGTTCCCTGTGATGGACTGGCATCCCATCCCTCTTGTGTCCTAGGCTTCCTGGATGGATTCTCGTCACCGTGACCAGCGAGATGCCACTGCGATACCTGCACGCCCCGTCCTGTCACTGGAGCCGGACCTTTCTCCAGGAGCCTGCTGTCTCCTGCCAGGCTGAAGCTCTTCCGGCTGTGTGAGGCGGCAGCGCTCCGCGTGTTAACGCGAAGAAGCCCCGATGTGGACCCAGCCGTCTTACGCGACGACCTGAAAGAGGGAGATTTTAACTGGAGGAGGTACAGTCATGTTAATTTAATAGGGGCAAGGGGTGAGTTAGTGAAAGTTGCATTGCCATAATAAGGGGTGTTAAGGAGGGAGCCTCATAATATCACACACACAGAAGGATGTGAATCCAGTACATTTATATTTTCATTATATTCATATATTTTCAAATGTACATTATCAGGTGTCATAACTAACCTTTTAGTAAATACAGGGTAATGATAGGCTACCAGCTTACAAGTTAACAGCTAGTTAAGAAACAGTAAAGAAAGCTAACAAAGAAATCTGGCAATTTGTCAATAAAAGCAGGCTAGCATAAAAGTCAATTAACTGAGGTACTTAGAGTACTGCATGGGTACAGGTAAGTACTTACGGGGTTACTTTAAGCGTCGCTTTCCTAAGTTTTTCAGTGCTGGTAGACATTTTACTTATTTATCTCGGCAAGAAATAGAGGATTTCTAGATAATGGGTTTTAGATTAATTAGCTCGTTCGCAAGCTGGCCGGAAAAGATGCGGGGTCGGAAAGTTCCGTGCGCTTGTTTTGCGGTTACCATGGCAACAAGCAGCGCCCACAGAGCGGAAGCCCGTGCGCGAACTCTAGCTGCTTTTGTTGTGATTCACTAATACTCTTTCATTTATTATACCAAAGCCGTTTGATAGCAGAAAAGGCCGCTTGAAAACTGTTGCGAAGATATATTCCTGACTGATGCTTAATGTCAGGGAGCAGCGCACTACGGAATACACTGCGTCGGGAGACGATTTATGAGTTATGTACTGTTTACCAAGCACCTTGTTTTAGAATAATGAAGCAACGATTAAGTTGCACATGCATCGGAGGGAGGATAATAATTAACATAAAACAGTCAGATTGGTTAAATAGGGTGATTTATTTGCTGTTATCCATTGCACTCCGCCAGTACACACTAGAAATATTGCAAATCTTAAGAATATACATGTGAGGAATACATTTTAACATTTCATTTCTGTTAATTTGACAGTGAGAAAATTGATGGAATAATACTCACTTAGGGAGCATTCTAAAGGCATTATATGCATTAGAAGAAGCAAAACTGTCCGTGTAACATGTTTGCTGTGGGTATGGTCTTTTGCGTGCTTAGCTGCAAAATTGGAAACCAACTGCACAGGACGTAAAAGAGTAAAAAATGTTGTTTAGCAAAAACGTTTATATGCAACTATACGTAAAGCAATATGTAATGTTTGCAGCAGGGATGGTAAGATCCACTGATTCTCATCGGTGCACCGGCATAAAAATTCACGATGCGACTTTCCCCTTTAAAAAACTGCACTTTGGGATGAACTCGGGATTCATCGTTTTCTAAGATATTTGCATCGGTAAAATTCGATTTTTATTTCAGTAGAGGCCCAATGCCTTTATTATTTAGAAATATGACCAATAATTTTGACCAGTAATTGTATATTTCAGCTTAGACTGATATAACTCTATCTGTATCACCTTGAATTGCTTAGCATCATATCTTTTGCATTCCATTGTATCGCGTAGAATCACATTTTGCTGAATCAAATTGTGTCCAATCGCGCTGCATCGCAATAGGGGTGAATGACATGATTGACATCGTATCGCATTAGCAGTTGTTTCATATGTATCTTTCATGTATCGGATCATTGGCAATGAATCGAGATGTGTGTCGCATCGGCCTCAGTGATAGAGATGCCTATCCCTAGTTTGCAGTATAAAAATATATAAAAAATACCACAAAGGACAAAGTAAAAATATCCAAATGAAAGACACATTACAGTGAAATGTAGAACTGCCAAAGTCAAAGAAGAATATTCATTCTGCCTCATCATCATGTCTCAGGCCTGGGTAAGGACAGAGAACTTCATCTACACCACAGGCAATATCATCTCCTGCTAGACAACGAATAATCCATTGTGACTCATTCACGATCCATACCTAGAAATTCAACTCACCTGTGACACTTGCACTGTCATCCTGCACATATTTTCTGTTCTAGTCACTCGATGTTTAGATATAAGTGTGAAAATTTTTGAGTCATTGGGTTATTGAGTCATGTCGTTTACTGTGTGCTGGCTGTGTTTTCTGCAGCCTATGTTTACTATTTTGCATCAACGTTCACCACAGTGGAAAATGTGTTTTGATGAATGAGAATATGTTTCAAGTTTTGGAAAAAGGGTGATTCGGATCTGCAAATTGTATCTAACTAGGTGAACACTGCTTTAAGTTTTTCCAAATGAGTTAGATTTGATAAATGAGTTTTGGCAATTGAGGGGTTTGTTCCAAGAATGGGGGTTATTGTCTTCACAATTCAGAAAAACTGTAATACTGCAGTTTTATCCTATTTATCTTTCTATTCCAATGCACAATTCTGCTCAAGAAAGGGCAAAGACAGGTACAACATACTGCTAAACGCAGTCTATCAAATAAAATTATTGCAATAAATAGCCATGCATGTGTTCCCAATGATAATAAAAATATTTATTCATTCATACCGGAAACAGGCAAATTATCAGTCACAGATTACTAGGCCTGCCGCCAGTAGTGGAGGAGGCATGTGGGGTGGAGGGGCACCCACCCTCAGGCCATCACGACAGGGGGCCTACTTGCAAAGTTACCAAGGGAAACCACCGCCACCCCTCGGCAAATTTTAACGAGTGCCCCTTTTCACAACAGACGATCACGCAAAACTGGGATGGGATCGTTATTGTCACTGTTCATGTAGCAGGGGGGTTATACCGTGACACCCCTTTACCGCCCCTGCAAGCAATTTCCTAGGAGTCTATACCATGAATTAGAGTAAGAAATATCTATGTTGGTCACCAGGTGGCAGCAGTGGAAAGAATTATTTTCTCGATAATGGCGACTTATTTTTTCGATGGTGACAACTTTCCTTTTTATTAAAGAGAATGGTTCAGGTCGTCAGACGTTATTGATTATTGATTTGACGCATTAATATATCAGTAATTTGATCGGACGTAATTATCCAGGTCACTAAAAGAAAGATTCTGAACGGACGCTTTACAATAATCAAAAAGCCACATAGCAAAGAAAGTATTGATTCATCTACAGGGTCGGAATGCTGGTTTGTCGCAGGGCACACACCCACACACACAACTACACACTGTGAACTGTGTGAGGAATACTCACTGTAACAAAAAGTATGCGTTTTTTAAACATCTGCCAGGATTTCGAAACGGAACTCACGTATTTAATTAAAGCAGGTGGTTTATTTATGACTCCTCTGTATCGCAAAACCTTGACTTTGACATCGAATTTCCATTAAGTCTGATGTACCATCGAAAATCAATAAATTTACAACTTATCTCACATTATCGTCTCTCTAAATCAATTTTGGTATCCTTTGCGGGAGTAAGTCCATAAATGCATATTATTATCCATCCATCCATCCTGTTTCTGCAACCGTTCGTCGTATTCAGGGTCGTGAGTTAGCTGGAAATTTCTGTCATTTGCTAGCATACAAAATGATATACTGAAACTTGAAGCAGTGTGCGAAATACCCGTCAATATTCGGGGGGGTCCCCAGATCCCTATTGTTGCACAATACCGATCTTGAGACACCCTTAAAATTTTGCTTTTGAGGCTTTCAGGGGGTTAATCGGTGGTATCGGACGGCCCCATATTTCGCACACTGTATAAAAGTACATAATTGTCAATCTTATTTCTGCATCCAGCCGTAAAACCGCAATCCTATTACTGACTACTAATTACCAATATGCTCCGGGAGCTCTGGCTCAGCGTAACCTGCGTTCAGCTGTTCCGTCACCTCATTTCTTACCCGACAAAAACTGCTGCCAATGTCACGAGACAAACAATTAAGCGATCTCAACATTGAAAAGAGGGCAAAAATACATAACACTCACCCTAACATGCATACAACAAAAACCGAAATATTGGATTCTAAAGTTTTTTTTATAATTTTTTTGTGTGACAGTAAATTACTCCTTGTGGCTTGTAGCACATTTCAGACAAATCATTGGATACTGAACTCATAAATATCACAAATAGCACAAAGATAATTTCTGAGATAGATGAGAAATTATGTGATATATCTGCATAACAAGAATTTTTAATTAATGTTTAACCTCTCATTCAGTACCTGGCCAAAAATGTACATGCAGTGATTTAAGTTAATTTAAGAATTTCTTAAATTAACTGAGCTAGCAAAGATGGCTGAAATTAGCCAGCAAGGCAGCTATAGTGAACTAATGTGTGAATCTGAAGAAGAATAAACTAGCCTATAAAAAGCCTGAAAAGCACAGACTGGATACTGTTTTAGATTTCACCCGCAGTTTCCATCGCGAGGACCCCTGTCGGTGAAAAAGTAGCGTTGCTTTGGAAAATCAAGAAAAAAATGCTACTGGGGATCATTCCTACCTGCTGCCATCAGACGCCGTAATATTGATTCCAGACGTGCCGCTTCACACCCACAGCCATAATAGGATGAAGTCAAGCGAGACCGACACCCGGCATCCCACCTGACGGGGTTGTCCATGGTGCCACGGGAGGCAGTAGTGAAGAGGATGCTGACAAAATCTGACAACATTATGAATAATTCCGCCCATTTATTGATTTATTATAATAATAATAATAATAATAATAATAATAATAATTATTATTATTATTATTATTTTTATTATTATTATTAAATTACATATTAATTAATTGATACTATGTAATGTGCCATTTTTTCAGGTTTCTATTTCTGTATTCTGTATTTTTAATTTGCATCACATTTACTTGTTCGCACTGCGTAGTGTCTTTCCATCTTGCTACATTTATGTTCATCTGTTCTCTATACATATTTGCCGCTGGATGCACAAGAATTTCCCTCTGGTATCAATCAAGTTAATCTAATCTAATTTAATCTAATCTAATCTAAAATAGGCTAATTGAACTGCAGCCCCCCTTGTGCAAGATTTTAATAGCATTCAAAAAGTATTCAAAACAAACAACTTGAATAAGTTTTGAAAATAAATGCATGCTCACTTTGTATCGAATGCTACGTGACAGTCAATGAATAAGATATAACCTTCATAACGCCAATACTGACGACCGAGGAACACAGGGGGATTCTGACGTCATGAATTAAGTGGGAAGGGGCGTTCATCCGGGACTTAGCAAGGGCTCCCCACGTGACCCACTCAATAACAGCAAACATGGCGGAGGTAAGGCGAGAACTCTCAGTAGGCTAGCTAGCTAACGCAACATTTTTCCGAATAGCCTGCTGCACACAAAATTGAGTTCAGGAAACGGGAAATATCTGTGATGTAATTTTATTAATATTCGCGTTCACCTTAGTGTGTTTTATTTGAGACTTAAACTTTTCCATACGTTGCATTTTATTTGGGAGCCATTCTTAAACTTAAATGAACCCTCCGTGCAGATTGCTAACCTAGCTAAAAGCCACTGTCCTCACATTGTTTATTGTATTTGAAAATTAATTGCGGGGAGTTATTGATCATTTTGTGTTGAATGTGATAGTCACCAGACAAATCTTGCTCAGTTGTCCGCTTTTTAGTACTTTGAACGGATTATTTTGGTGGCTAACGTTAGGTAATGGAATTTAGGCGCGCTTTTTGAGTTTAACTCCTACTTTTTTATCAACTTGGCCCGCTGTGGTTTCGCGGTGTTCAGGGTCCGCGATTCTTTCGATGTACTAGTAGTATTATATATTTTAACATTTCCATAGTATGGATGAAGAATCTGATTGATTTCTGTGTCGCAGAACTGTATAATCTGCGATATGGGCTCCCATCATAACTGAACAGGGCTTGATGTCGCTTAATAATCACCAACTCGTTCATTTTGCGCTCTTTAAGATGACGTTGGTTTGGGTGACTCTGTATTATAACTGCGCTGAAACATTTAGATATAGATTTAGGTTTCTGGCAGTACTAGTATTGGCCTTATATGTGAGCAAGTTACGTACTGTTATGTGATTAATTGCAAGGAGTCTTGATCAAAGGGCGGTTCATGTCCATTTCACTGCGGAATTGTCATTTTTTTGACTACACGTATTTTGAAATTTGTTTTCAAATTTGATAAGATGTTGTTATCAATTTTCTGGCGTCTGGCAATGAAACGTTAACTTAACAAAAATTTACAAGCACAACAACAATAGTTTTGTATAAGAAAAATAAAATTGTAAAAAGAAAAAACTAAAGTCTCTTGTCATTCGATTTTGTTGGCCAGAGATGTCTATACTGTTTTTCTTAAAACAATCCTCGATGTCAGAGATAAATCTTGAACAATAATTGTAAACTTAATTTTTTGTTTACTAAAGGGGTTGAAACATTAGAGCTCATGGGACTAGATAAGTGAACCCTTTAAAGAGCAAGGCCTTGGGGTGTGAATTAACTGAAGATGAACTGACTCTCTTACAGGCAGAAATTGAGCTATTAAATGAACATCAATAAGACGGTTTAATTAATTCAGACCCAAATGATTGTGTTTTGATAATGGTATCAAAGCGTACTAAGGGCAGACCCTGAAAAGCTTGTTCAAAGGCAGTGCTTAACAGTTATTTCGCTCTCATTACTATACATGATTCCTTGCTTTAATTTTTAAATAAATGGCATTTTATTTTTCTTTCAGCCCTCCTTTGGGAGTTCAAGCCCAGCAGGTACAAATAAGCTTCATTATTTACAGTTTTTCCATTTTATGGCACAGAGTGTTATTCCCCTGACAGTGCAATGGCTGTACAGCTTTAATATGCAGTCCCCTTTAACAGGAGGTTCGGCTGCCTCAGATGACCAAGAGTTTGATCCCACCGCGGAGATGCTCGTCCATGACTTTGACGACGAAAGGACCTTGGATGAAGAGGAGATGCTAGAGGAAGAAACCAATATTAGCACAGAAATTGATGACCTTGCCCGTGTGAGTAGCGTGTTGTTGCATGTTGAGGTTTGAAATAGCCAGGGATGCACATAACTTGTACACAGAAAATTGCCATTCATTTTAACCATTATATAAAAAGTGCACATTAGCCATTAAAAGGTTAAAATGCATGGTAATTTCTTGTAATAGCAGTGCAGATGTGTGCTTGTTGTATGTGCATTTGCTCTGTTACACCAAAAAATTGCCACACGTATTTTATCCGCCAGATGCGTACCAGTTGTGTGCATCCATGGAAAAAGCACTGGAATGTAATTAATCATACTGGCTTTAATGGGTCTGTCAGGATAGGGAGTCTTGGTATATTATGTTGGCGTTTTGAGTCGTGTTAAGAAAAGTCACTAGTTTTTCAGGTTAGTTTAGCATTTACCAATCAGCTATTGGATGTGAGTTTGCAGTCTTCTGATTGGCAGTTGTGATCCGTAGGAGGGTGAAATGCCAATTCAGGAGCTATTGAACATGTATGGATATGGGAGCGGCGGGTCGCCTGAGGCGGCCGAGGAAGAGGATGATGACAGGGAGGAGGAAGCAGAGGAGTACACGGATGACGTGACAGACGAGAACAGTGGAAGCACTGGGGACCTGAACCGGCTCTCGGTCGGTGTTCCGGCGCCTTGAGCCTTTAGGGCGTTTAAAGCCGGATGATGTGGCACTTATAACCATGCAGATTTGGTGTGTTCGGCTTGTGCAGGGTGAGCGGGCAAAGGACATGTCGGGCCTAGAGGACGAGACCCAGTCCTCAAATGGCGAACGGACCCCATTCGTCTCCTCGCACGTGGAGCTGATCCGTCCACGGAGATGCAAGTACTTCGAAAGTATGTGACTATTCCCTACAGGACTCTTGTGGGAGGTGATGGGTCCAGTCAGTGGTCTGATAGGGTAGCTATTTGTGTGGAAGTGGACGAGAACACGACCACCTTTCATTGGAGTGTCTAGCAATCTGTTCGCATCTTCCAAGTAATTAAAACATACCAAAGGCGTGTAGATGCGGTGACATGATTTGAAGTCGGCGATGCGCTAAATTTGCATTCACATAAAAAATGCATCGCTTGATGCTTTCTTTCGCATTGAATAAATGCAGCATAATTATCGGCACATGCACTGACTGCGAAACACTGTCACTTCCAGGCAACGAAGACGAATCAGAGGATGACGAAGATTATGTTCCCTCTGAGGACTGGAAAAAGGTACGTTTTATTAAGGAGCTGACATTTTTAAATGATGTCCTCAGGGGATGTGTGTGTAAAATGGTTTGAAATGCTGTGTCTCTCAGGAGATCATGGTGGGATCTATGTACCAGGCAGAAACACCTTCTGGGCTCTGCAAATATAAAGAAAATGAGAAAGGTGAGGTCTGGAGTAGACCAGGAAATTCCCCCGGGTGCTTCTCAACTGTGGTCTGTCCTCCTCGCTGGTCAATGTGTCAACATCACTTTTTTTCCCACAGTTTACGAAAATGAAGATCAGCTGCTTTGGGACCCACAGTCCCTCCCTGAGAACAAAGTGGTGGAGTTTCTGGCAGAAGCCTCCAAGCGTACAGGCGAGGAGAAGGGGGTGGATGCCATTCCGGAAGGATCCCACATCAAGGACAACGAGCAGGTGCATTCAGGAGCATTACTTTGACATGGATGCCCCAGTTGGAATGGGGGAGGCAAATATGAATTTTGTTTTGAGCCGAATAATGTATCAACAAAGTGCAGATTCATGGGTAAGCGATGTTAGAGTAGAAGGAAAGTTTGTCAGGTAAAAAAAAACATGATTTATAACATCGCAGATGTTTTACTCAAAAAGCCTGAAGCATCCGTCTAAAATATTGTAAAGTGTATATTGGAAAAGAGATGGGTGGATCTTTTTCTAATCTGCAGACACTAGTATTTTGTGTTTAATCATAGTCTTTTCCAGAGAATTGTAGACCAGGATCCTTTCTCAGTTTTCTGTTGATCTCTGGTTGTTGTTGTTAAAGTTGCCGTTTTCCAGCTGCCTGTTCAGCTCCGGCTCACCTTTGATGCCCTTCCTTTCAGGCCCTTTATGAACTGGTGAAATGCAATTTTAATACAGATGAAGCGTTAAGGCAAATGCGGTTCAACATAAAAGCAGCCAGAGGTGAGAGTCACTCTTTTATGCATTTTCATTTAATTTCTTTCCATTTTTGAAGACTAATGTTGACTTTTTGGAGTACCGTACCTTTTTGAAGTACCGTACCTTTTTGAAGTACCGAACGTACGGTACCTGGTGCAGTGTAAAAGTGCCCTTAATTACATGCTACTGTGTATGTTGAGTAGTTTTGAAGCCTGGGTTGCTGACAAGTTGTTTAGCTGCCCCTTTTCTTTAAGGGGACGTAGGATTGTACAGCTGGAGGGTTTGTTGTAGCAGTATGAGTGCTGCTACTGGGTTCCTTACGGAACTTGACCCAGTGACTCAGCCTGTGCCCTTAACCATCAGAATTGTCCTTAAAAATTACCCATCAAGGTCTTCAAAGCTTTATGTTCCTCTACTGCAGAAGAACTGTCAGTTTGGACTGAGGAAGAGTGTCGGAATTTTGAACAAGGATTAAGAGCTTACGGGAAGGATTTTCATTTAGTACAAGCAAACAAGGTAAGGGTAACTTTGCTTTGATTTGATGAACAATTAGAAAATATGTACGAAACCATAACTTCTAGCAGCTGAGCAGTTTGTTCCTCTTTCACTGAGCAGGTAAAGTTTGAGGGTTTCTTTACTCCTGACCTGACCTGTTCTGTTTTTTAATTTTTTTATTTTTAATCGCTAGTCTGTTCCTATACATAGAAGTGGGAAAATTAGATCTAAATGCCTGCATTCAAATTTCATGGTCTATGCTTAAATCGCTGATTGTTAGATTAAAGCCACACTTAACAACAATCCAATGTGGCTTAAATTTTCTTTAAATTTGTAGCTGGAAAACTGTCTGGAGTCCGATGTTTGACAAAGTTTTAATAGATGAAAAAACCTGTAATTTAATCATTGAAACAGTGATTAGATGTCAACCCTGCCTTACCCACAGTGAGTTGTTGGGCAGCTGTTTGCTGCCCAGTAACTGTTGCACTCAAAGTCAAGTATTAAGACTGTTTTCATTTAGCTTTAATAATAATTTTTAAATTATTGAACTGCTTTGTTTGCATTTTTTTGTAAAGTATGGATTATGTTAATTTGTAAATTGCTTAATTTTCTGACTGAATCATATGGAAATATCTGTGCAATGTAATGCCTGTATTGTGGTTGTTGTTTTCTCTGTTTTTTTGTAGATATGTAATGCAACAAATTGCATTTTTTTAGGTGAGAACTAGGTCTGTTGGAGAATGTGTGGCCTTTTATTACATGTGGAAGAAATCTGAGCGTTATGATTTCTTTGCACAGCAAACCAGAATTGGCAAAAGGAAATACAATCTTCACCCAGGTGTTACGTAAGTAGCTGTATTTGATGATTAAAAACCTTTTAGGTTTAGGAGCGTTCCGTCATTTTTTCTTTGAATAATTAGACTGTTTTTTTTTTTAATGACTTAAGATTTGAAGTGGTTCCATTGTTAATCATTTAATAGTGTAGGAATCGTGATTTTTGTGTGCTTGTCAGTTTGTAGGATTAGAGGGAAAAAAGCATATAGCAACCTTTCGTAGCTGCTATTATTGAATGCCAAGGTATTAATTATTCACTATAAAAAGTCTTTTTAAGCAGCCTTTTTAAAGCTACATTAGATCGCTGTTTTGTGAAATAAACTTCATATATCAGTTTATATATCAGAAAAAAATCTGCATTGCTTGCCAGAGAAGAGTGTATTTTATTGTTTGACTAATCATGGCATTCAGCTTTTTATTTTAAGCTATGCAATCTAAGTATAACGTTGTGCTACCTTAATAGCCCCACGACTAAAAATGTAGCCCTTTGTGTTACATATGCGTCCGAGACCCGGCTACCTTGCTAGCTTCATAAGCAGCTAAGCAGAGAGGTTGCGGAGTGACGTGGTGCTTTGTGGGTGCTTTGTGGGTGCTTTGTGGTCGCCGCGTGGAGGCGCCGTGTGGGTCGTGACGACTCCCCCTGCTGTTCGCAGGGATTACATGGAGCGGCTGCTGGACGAGACCGAGAGCACGGCTTCCAGTTACGCCGCCTCTCCCCCCCAGGCCTCGTCCACCTCGGACCGAGACGACAGCTGCCTCCAGAACGGTGAGTCAGAGCCACCCATATGACTGTCCCACCAACAAATATCCACGGCGTGGGTGTACCTTATGTTTTTTTTTTTTTTTTTGTGGTCGCAGGTACGAGTCATGACACCGGAGATGACCGGAGCGGCGGCCCGGAAGAGGTCAGGGACGAGGAGGCCCAGAAGAACGGCCCCTCCCACAGCCAAGAACATTGCTCCTCGGACAAAGACACTAACGGCTGCAGCAATGAGGACTCTCAGAACCACAGCAAAACCGGGTTCGAGGAGAACCACCGTGCCGGCTCATATGAGGACGCTGGGCCCGAGAACCCTCTCAAAAAACGCAGAACAGACAGCAGCTCCCAGGGCCCCCTGATCCCATCATGAGCAAGGCTGAGGATTACTGATGCTTATGCACAGGGCGCCCTCTAGGGTCAGTAGTTAGACAGAGCCTCCTGCATGCCAGGGGTTCACCAGCAAATTTGGGAAGACTGTATGCAAGCACTGCAGTCTTTTGTATTCCAAAGTACAAATCCTTAAAAAATTAGGAAGATTTTTTTTCCTTCCTCCTCACTCCTTTTAAGAGACCTTTCAGAAATTTAAAGAAGCGCGTTCCCTATTTCTATTACAGATCGTCGACTCATATTTTTTTATGCAAGAGATATTTATATATTTTGATTAACGGTGGAAGTTTCAGTCTTTCAGGAGCAGGTGAGTGTTTTGTCAACAGTTGTAACTTGCAGTAAGCAAGGGGTACCTAAGCTTTATAAGCACACGATATTGCACTTTCATTTAGTTTTGTACAAGACTGTCTTTGCACCATGAGTACATCATTAAATCAAATGAAACTGACTTTGAAGCCTTACACACGTCCACTTGTTTCAGTACGGAAAAAATGAACCAATGGGTTTATTTGATAATGACATCAGTGATGTCCTGTATATTACGTGTGTTATGGGGGTAGTTGAGATTGATTCATATTTCCCGATACTTAGTATTTTTTTTTTATTATGTATTCTTTCATATATCAAGGTAGATTTTTCTGATCTTATATAGTTTTTACTTTTTTGTAGTTTCTCATTTTTTTTAAGCTGCAAATTAGCATTTCCATGTTGTCATAAAACAGACCTTTAAATGTTTTATAGACTTTTTCTCTTTATCTTTTTTTTTTGTGAGCATTTTGGACTGAACCTTGAGCAACCACCTAACTGCATAAATTAACTACAAACTTCATGAAGAACGTGACTCGGTGCGATTTGTTAGTATGTGTAATCATAGAACTTAATATTCAATGTAGAACTATTTTCTGTTTTTAACTGAATTAAGAACTGCCTCAGATAGATGTTTGGGGGGGGCATAATGGCTTTATCCAAAGCTTTTTTTTGTGTGCTTAATGTTTTGTTAATGAAAAGGCCAGTCTTATGTGGTAAAGTTTTGTTTCAGAACCTTTGAAGTTCTGACTGGGCAAACAGTTGTATAATTTTCTTAGCTATTGAAAAAAAACAGTTTGTGCGTTAGGTATTGTTCTTGAGTGTAACTTACTGATAATCAAGTTTGTTGATACTGTACTGTTTAGCACTAGCTAACCCTAAAGGACCACCAGATCACCCTGATGTATTGTAAAATAGTACTAGTTAGCTTTCAGCCACCAGTCATCCAATGTGTCAGACTAGTCTGCTGCAATTTAAAACCAAAATGAAAAAAATAACAGGGCCACCCAGGTGGTTGAAGTAAATATGGGTGTATTGGAATGAGTAAATTACTATTTGACAGTGAGTACATAAAATGTAGAAATATTGCCCCTCAATGCATTGAGAATCCTTGAGCAAACACCATTTCATAGGCCACTTAATCACAAAACAAACCATTTTACCACGAGATGTTCAACACGTTGTTGAGCATCACTGTTTTGTTCTCGTCCCATGTTCTTGAATATTTATATTATCCTTTTGTAATTACTAAAGAATAAAATTGAACCTAATTCTTTAAAGCCTGTGTTTTTCTTTGATCTCTGTTCAGCTCTTTTGATCTAACAGCGTGGGCTGGGTGAGGATGGTGGTATTTTTCTGTGTTTCTTATTTTTCTGATTATGTTGTCTTGTGCTAACCTAGTTTTTAGTTCCTGCCTGTCCTACATAGATCAGGCTGCAGTTCCAGTAGATAATTTCATAAGTGAGGTTTTTGGCATTGTCTGATGTCCTTTGACCGAATCTGTTGATTTTCTTGTTCCATTTGCTTTTTTTTAATTAAAATGTTCTGGTTCCTGTTTTGGAGTGGTTTTCAGTAGATATAGTTTGATTCTGACTAGGTAGTGCTTCATGTTTTTTACTCGTAGGCTCATTTGGTCTTATCAGTTGGTTTCTTTCTGAAGTTTTCTTTTGTTTCATTTCCTTCTAGATTTATTCACCTCTAGCCATTAATCTCACTGCACTTTCCGTGTTCGTCTACACTCTCGATGTCTTTTAAACAGGATGGCAGCTTGAGCTGCTGTGTACACAAAAAAAAATGTTTTTTAAATGTCTCAGTACACCAGCTGTATTATAAGTGGCACGGTGACGTTAGCTGAAAATAGGTGTTTAGTTTATACAGTCTGTGTACGGAGTTCTTCTTGTGTTTCCTGCCTGTCCTACATAGATCTGGCTGCATCTCCAGCTGATAATTGCATGAATGTGGTGGTTTGTGTTTTCTATTATACTTCGATTGCATCTGATGATGGTTAGTGCATTGCGTAAATGTGGTTGTTTGCGTTTTCCGTTATACTTCGATTGCATCTGTTGTTTTATAGTGCTTCTTTAAATTAAAATGTTTGGGTCCTTGTTTTGGAGCAACGTTCATTGGTTTTAGTTTGCTTTTGACTAGGTAGTCTTTTATATTTTTTTCTTTTATGCTGATTTGGTGTTATTTGTCATTTGGTTTCTGTCTGATGGTTTGCTATTTTCATTTTCTGTTAATTCATCTTTTCATAGCTTCTCTTAATCCTACTGCGCGTTCTGCCTATGTGTCTTTTTTTAAGTGGATGGCTGTTTCAGCTGGGTTATAGTGTGTCACAGCCTGTGGAACACCTCTGGTTAGACCTATGGGATGAAGGTCACGCTTCGTCTGATGTATTCCGTAATTTGTTCAAGATTGTTCTTCAATTGATAACTGGGTTCCTGTGATCGTTTTTTGGCCAGGAAACTTGTGTAAAGTTTCTTTAAATGAATCCTAATTCTAGCTGTAAACATAAACCTACTACCGAAACTAATTATAATGCGAACCATAAATCTATCCTTAACCCTAATTCCAATTCTAACCCTTATCCTAACATTAACCCTAGTCACAATCGTACCTGCACACCTAACCAAAGACATAATCCTGATCCCAATTCTAACCCTAGCTGTAACCTTAATCCCAACTTGAGCACTAACCATAGTCACAGACTAAACCTTACAGCAAGTCCTAACACTATTTATAAACCAAGCTTTAACCATAACCCCAATATAAACCTACACCTGGAGGGAACTCCAATCCTAGCTCCAACCCTAACCCTAACTCTGACCCTAAGAACTGGTTCATTTTGTCGTCTGCGTTCTTGGATGTTCACCCCTCTTGCACCAATGTGCCAGGAAACTGTGTCCTTTAACGCCAAGCCTGACATACTACTGTAGAGCGAAGCTTCTCCAGTCACATTTATGACATGCGGTATGGACGTTATACTTAAAATTTTTACTAAAACCTTGCACTTGCCATACTCAACGCAGTTATTATCATTATTGATGAGACGTTTTCGTGAGCTGAAATAACATAAGAAAATAAAAATAAAACTTAAGCAAATACGTTTTTGTGTAACTTGCCTGAACTATAGAAGGAGCCAGCGGTCCTACATTGCAACATTTTGTCGTAGCAAGCTATGTCTTTCAAAAGATTAATGCTTAAACTGACACTATACTGCCTGGCCAAAAAAAGGTTGTCATTAGAATTTATATCAGTAGATACTTATGAGCCAATGACTGGATCATTATTACAGCTCGGCAACGTTATGCGGCAATATAGTAAAGTGAGCTGAGTACCTGAATCTACTGAATGGCCAAGTTACACCTCCATCATCAATGGATTTTCCTCTTCCCTGTTGGCATGGGCATATTCCAGGACAAGAATGCCAAGATTCATTGAGTTTGAATTCTCTAAGTGTGGTTCAGGGAGCATGAGGTATCATTTTCATGCATGACTTGGTCACCACAGAGTTGTGACCTTAACCTCATTGAAGGTTTCTGGGATGTACTGAATGAGGCTTTATGGAGTGGTTCAACTCACTGGTCAATACAGGATCTCATTGAGAAATGAATGTAAATCTGGATGAAAATAAAGGGTGAGATGTTGCATAAGCTTGTGGAAACGATGCCATGACAAATGTGCACCATAATCAAAGCTAAAGACGGTCCAACAAAAAATTCAAATGGCAATTTTTTTTTGGCCGGGCAGTGTTTACCACTTGAAAACTAAATAGGTATACAACTCTATAATCCGATGCCCTAACTTTAAATTTGTGCTACTTCTTCCCTAACTAATGAATGGTCGAGGTGTGCTTGCATCACAGAACAGACTGTCTGTGTGGTTTCAGATTTCGAGTGGTACTCTAACCCCAACCATAGATATAATCTCTGATGACCAGCATGTGTGCAGAAATCCTGTTACACAAATAAATGCCAAACTGTTTCCTCACTGGCAGCAAAAAACCCACAATAAGAGTTTCCACCCTGATAAACCGACGAGGCTAACAGACCACGCTCTGTCTTGTTTAGCATGAAGATAAGACCACTATCCTGTTTAGGTAAGAAATGTTACTTTTTCACTTTGTTATAACTAGTATCTTTTTAAAAAGTGTGTGATATAGTGTTAGGAAAGTTAGTGTAGTATTGAAAAACAATTGTTTTTATTTTTTAATTCCCTGGTACCCTTGCTCTGTTATAAGTGGCATGGTGATGTTAGTTGGTGTGAATTATAAGCATGTTATTGTCTAGGTGCTGTGTTTCTGAAGGTCCTGGCTTCAAATGCACTTTACCACTTGTCTGGAAGGAGTAATGTACTAGGAGACCTTAGCCCACTGGATTTCCATCCATCTTCCATATCCGCTTAACATCTTCCATACCTACACAAGCTCAGGCTGGGACCCGCAGCCACAAGGCATGGAATAACAGGACAGGGTGCTGACCCCTCACAGGGCACCCTCACACACACAATTTGGCAACTCAGCGTGCTTTTGGTCTGTGAGGGAAACCCCATGCAGAACATGCACACACATGGAGTCAGGGCAGAGACTCAAACCCTGGTCACCAGAGGCATGAGACAGCAGTGCCAACCACTGCATCAGCATCACATTCGTGTACCCATCCACCTTCTGTACCCATTCACCCTACTCAGGGTCGCAGAACCTAGGGGCATAAGGCAGGGAATAACCCAGGATGGGGCATCAGACCATTAGACAGCACCATTTACAAATTGCTAACTCCAATTCCCCTTAGCGTGTTTTCAGACTGTGAGGGGAAACCGGAGTACCCAAAGAAAACTCCAAAATGACACGGGGAGAACATGCAAACTCCACACACGGAGCCTTGAAGCCCAGTCGCTTGAGACATCAATACTAACCGCTGTGCCGCCATGACAATCATACAACTAGCGGAAAAAAAATCATATTATTTCCATTTTTTCATAGTAAACTTCCCTTACATTTTGAAAAAATTGTATACTTCAACAGTGTTTTATCAATATTATATGGATTTTTACTAAAGAAAACTGACTTTACCCATGGAATAATTTTCTTTGTACGATAAGCTAAATTGGGGAAAAAAACATAAAAAGTAAACAACTGCACAGGAGATAGCATATGTTCACTCATATGAATAAACATGCACATTATTAAATCAAAATTCATAGACAAATTATTAGAATTTGAATGTAACACAGAACTTATTTTACATGTGATATTAATAAAATGTACAGTTAAAATATTCCAGCACACGTTGATGGATTTATACAACAGGAATTTGAAATGTTCGAATTCTAGTTATTTGAAACCTTAATGTTACTTCAACGGTCATTTAAGCTGTAATTGTAATGCACCACGCAACAGGTATATAATAATTTTTGCAGCTAGATTATATGTGAATGAAACTATAATGTTTTGTATATCATAGTATTACCCAGCCATCATATATATATTTATGTATGCAATCGCAGTTGTCGAAAGAAAACAACACAGACACTACCAGTAATTGGTTCTTTAAGTGTGGGACTTTTACTTTGACACCCTGGAACACATCCGCGGAAATACCCACTGAAAGAACCGTGTTTGGCTGGAGGTGGCGGCCGCCCGGGACGCACCCAGCGCTGTGGCCTTAATGCCGAGGTTTCCAGCGACGCAGATCGGTACAGCCGCCGTAATTGATATCTGAACTGGAGGTAACCTGTATATGGTGTCAAAAAGCTGATATTGTATCAAGAACTGAAAATGAACGGTAAACGTGTCCACGTGATTATCAGTGGCTTTTGAGACATTGCGGTTAAACTAAATCTTAAGTCTTTGAACTTCCCCAGCTCATTTTTCCAAAAACACTGACTGGTTGGCGTAAGAGCACGTCAGCACAGAGATGAAAGAATCTACAAAGGGAGGACCGAAAACATATAGGCCTATTTATATATATATATACCGTATATATATATATGTGAAATTTTTGAGTCTTTGTAGGGTAATATTCTCTATTCTACAGGGTGCTTTCTAGCAAAATAAACAGATATCCACTTTCTATTTTAGGATGCCAGTCCATCACAGGGAATGTACACAATCATACCCACACATGGCCATACAATGGAGGGAGTGAGGTATCCGCATGTCATTACATAGACAGAACATGCAGACTCCACACAAAGCAGATGAGGGATTTGACCCCACAACCTCTGAGGCGTGAATAGGTGCCACCTATGAACAAATATATAATTTGTTATAAGAAATGTATTTAAGTAAAGTTTAAAAGTGTTACTTTTCCATTAATAATAAATATTTTTATAAATAGATTTTTAAAATATCACTTTACATGCCGTCAAGCTCGTATGCAGTGTGTATGGTAACACGAAGGCATACGGAGTGGATCTCAAACTGAGAGGCATGATCTGAGCTGGTTGCGGAACAGAAATGAATATCATACACAGTACCACCCCCTCCCCTTGCTTGAGTAAATTTAATGCTGCCAACCACCCCAGAATCAGGAAGGAGGAGCGTGGCAGTTATGTACTGGAAGGATGTGTGACTTGCTGAATTGAGGTCAACAGACCACAGTCTTAACACTTTGGTGGCTGCACTTCTTTGATATGTTAATTATTTTCATGCTTGATATAATCAGAGCCTCACAGCAAGAAGGTCCTGAGTTTGGACCCGGGTCCTTTCTGTGTGGAGTTTGATGCTCTCCCCGTGTTCGTGTGGGTTTTCGCCGGGGGCTCTGGTTTCCTGCCACGGTCCAAAAGCGTGCAGGGCAGGTTGATTGGTGAGTCTAAATTGGCCCTTTAGTTGTGTGTGTGTGAGGGTGTGCATCCTGTGGTGTGTTGGCGCCTGCCCAGGGTTGGTTCCCGCCTGCGCCCCTTGTTCCCAGGATAGGCTCCGGTCCCCCCCGCGACCCCAGTTGGGATGAAGCAGTTTCAGAAAATGGATGGATTGATGGATATAGTCAGTATAAAATTCATTAGCTGAAATGTAGGCTGCCTGTTTGCCTGGTTGGTCACTGGCTTTGGATGTATTTTCGAAAGAAACTTCACTCTTTATAGCTTGGTAACTAAAAGTAAAATAGTAATGGAAATAGCTATTCAGCAAGGGCACAGGGTACAGGGCACAGGGCACAGGGTACAGGGCTGGGGTCCCCCTTGAGCAGCATGCGAGTCCATTGTGGGAAGAGACCTCAGTACTGTGACAAACTTGACCCCCCAACCCTGGAGATGAGAGACCTCCATGCCACCTACATCTGTAACTATGGAGATAAGATCTTTCTATAAAAAGTAAACAGTACAACTTAACAAGATACTAATACATAAAAACAAAATTTTGGATGCTCAAATACATTTCATCGGCCTAAAAAATACGTCCAGGAACTGTAACATATTGTTTATCTTTTCCGGTGTCTTATGATCGAGATAATATCTTTCATGCAAGTCTGAAAGGGTGAAATCTAAAATCCATATATGTACGCGCTTTCATCCAGTGACTCATGGCCTTTTTTTCAAACATTTATTTTGCAAATTTTAGCTGCTTTTAATTGAAGTCAGGTATTGCAAATTCAGCCACATCAAAGCACACAGGTTAAGGTAGCCAGTGACGGCTCAGTTTTTCCGAGCACAGGAAGCTGAAAGAGGTGAAGGAAAAAGTCAAAGATCATAAAAAAATATATAGCTGGTAATATGGAGAAATTGCTTTAATTAGAGCAGACACCTCAAAAATGCAAATAGTGTGTAATCTTACCCTCCTAAAAATTAGACAAAAGAGAGAAATTTGGGTAACTTCTGTTGTATTTGGGTTACCTGTCAAAATTATTTGAAACATATTTCTTATGTTAAGAGCTCTGTAATTATTTTAATGATGGCATTATATATTTCTGATGTTCCATCCATCTGCTTGTGGGCCCAGAAGCTTAGCACAGATATATGCCAGACCACTGGCGTGCACAGATAGAGACGAGGTGGTGCTGAAGCACTTGCC